TTCATTCTCCTAGCCAGATCATTATCAACTCCTTTGTCTGTGGAACTGTTCTTCTGTCTCTGGGCTCTATCCTTGTATATCATTTATTCCTTACCCTCTATCTTCTGCATATAAATCAACAATTTCCAAGCAACCGCGAGTTCTGAGGAAGGGTCACTGGACCCGAAACATTAACTCTGACTTCTCTTCACAGATACTCCCAGACCCACTGAACTTTTCCAGCAACTTCTGTTTTTGTTTCCAATCTTTTGAATGTGTTGGTTTACTTCATATTGTATTTGTATAGCTATTTGTGCATTATCTTTATAGCATTACTTTCCATTGCATTATTATCACTTTTTTTTTTGCATCAAAGGCACTTCTCGCAAGAAGCCTTTGTTACTATTCATAGTAAATGCCAAGAACACTCATGAAATTGAAAGCATCTATAAACAAAGTGTGGAATGCACTGCCAGCGGTGGTAGTGGAGTCAGATACATTAGGGACATTTAAGCGACTCTTGGGTAGGCACATAGATAATAGTAAAATGTGGGGTTTGCAGGGTAGTTTGAACTTAAGAGTAGGATAACAGGTCTGCGCAACATCACGGGCCGAAGCGTCTGTGCTGTTCTGTGTTCTTAAAGGAAAGTTAACTGGTCGTGAGCTGGAAACAAGGTTGTCCACAGACGTCCACTTGCGCTTTTTTTGAGGAGAGCTGTTTTAGTTGTCTGCACTTTATGACTCAAACTATTTTCTCCGACCTTCTTCTCAGCCATGGTCTTAAAATACTGGTTGGTTTTGCTACTGAAGGACTAAATTTAAGTAGCATTTTTCCCACCCTAAGATCATCAGATATTATTCTGTAATAAATGAATTACTTTTGAACCACAATCACTTTGAATTTTTAAGGGTTACACTGGACCTGGTTTTGGGAAATGAGCCCGGCCAGCTGAGTGAAGTTTCAGTGGGGGAGCATTTCGGGTGCAGTGACCATAATACTGTAAGTTTTAAGATACTCATGGATAGGGATAACAGTAGTTCTCGGGTGAAAGTGTTAAATTGGGGAAAGGTGAACTACGACAATATTAGGCAGGAATTGGAGAATTTTGATTGGAGGTGACTGTTCGAGGGGAAATCTACATTGGATGTGGGAGTATTTCAGTTGATCAGAGTTCAGGAGTGGCATGTTCCTGTGAGAATGAAGGATAGCTACAGCACGTTACGTGAGCCTTGAATGACCAGGGATGTCTTTTCTAGAAAGAGAAAGGAAGCATATATAAGGTCTAGGACAATACAAACTGATGAAGCCCTTGAAGTATATAAGGAAAGTAGGAAATTACTTAAACAAGCAATTAGAAGGGTAAAAAGAATGAAAAGTTGCTAGCAAATAGAATTAAGGAGAATCCTAGGGCTTTTTCATACGTATATAAAAAGCGAGGGTGGCCAGGGAAAGGATTGGCCGAGTCAAGGAGGGAATCTGTGTGGAGCCAGGAGAAGTAGGTGAGGTCCTAAGACACATACTTTAGTGAATACTGGTACAAAAGAGAAGGAACATCTCAAGGGAGGGAGTGTGGAGTCTTGAGTTTCTAAGACAAGTTGCTATTAAAAAGGAAGAGGTGTCCATCTTAAAAAGTATTAAGGCAGGTAAGTCCCCGGGTCCTGATGGGGATTTATCTCAGAATATTGAGGGAGGCAAGAGAACAAATTGCTGGAGCATTGACGGACATCTTTGCATCCTCTGGGACCTCATCTATGGCCATGTTGCCCCTTGTTTAAAAAGGGTAGCAGGGATAATCCTGGAAAGTGCAGACTTGAGTGCCACGTCAGTGGTAGGGAAATTGTTGGAAAAGATTCTCCGGGAAAAAATCTATAAGCATTTAGAAGCAAATGGACTTGGTAGCGATTAAACAGCATGGGTTTTGTGTGGGGCAGATTATGCCTCACTAACTTGATTGAGTCTCTTGAGGAGGTGACTAAGATGATTGAGGGAAAAGCGATTGATGTTGACTCCATGGACTCCAGTAAAGCCTTTCACAAAGTCCCTCATGGCAGACTGGTACAAAAGCTGAAATCACATTTTGTCAGGGTGAGCTGGCAAAATGGATACAGAAGGTAGTGGTGGAAGGATGCTTTTCTGAATGGAGGGTTGTGACTAGTGGTGTTCCGCAGGGATCAATGCTGGGACCTCTGCTGTTTTGTGGTCTACATAAACGATGTGGAGGAAAATGTATTGTCTGCAAACTGACTAATTAGACCAGCTACAAAGATTGGTGGATTTGCGGATAGTGAGGAGTATTGTCAGAGTTTCCAACTGATCTATATCCAGTTGTAGGCATTGGTAGAAAAATGGCAGATGGAGTTTAATTTGGACAAACGTGAGGTGATGCATTCTGGAAGGTCAAGTACAGTTGGAAATTATACAGTGAATGGCAGAACCCTTAGGAGTATAAATATGCAGAGGGATCTGGGCGTGCACGTCCATGCAGGTAGATAATGTCTTTTTTTTTTAAAACTACTTGTGGCATAGTTGCCTTCATTGGAAGGAGCATTGAGTATAAGGATAGACAAGTTATGCTGCAGTTTTATGGAACTTTAGTTAGGCCACACTTAGAATATTGCGTACAGTTCTGGTCACCACACTACTAGAAGGATGTGGATGCTTTGGAGAGGGTACAGAAACGGTTTACCAGGATGTTGCCTGGGCTGGACAGTTTTTTAGTTAGCAGAGAGATTGGACAGACTGGAGTTCTTCTTGAAGAGGAGACTGAGAGGAGGGCCATGATTGAGATGAATAAAATTGAGGGACATAGATTTAAGGTATGGGGCAAAAGGTTTAGAGAGGATGTGAGAAGAAAACTCTTACACCCAGAGGATAGTGGGAATCTGGAACTAACTGCTTGTAAGAATGTTAGAGACAGAAATCCTCATATTTAAGAAGTAATTAGATGTGCAGGTGATGCCAAAGTATGCAAGGCTATCGGCCAAGTGCTGAAAAATGAGATTAGAATGTGGTTTTTGGCTGGTGCTGAACGGCCTTTGTCAATACTGTACCATTCTGACTCTATTGCCTCACGCTTGATGTAGCATGAACATTGACACCATCAGTGCAAGCCTGAATACTCTGTTGATCTTGCTGCAGACTACTTCAGTGTGAGGAGTTGTGACTGATGCTAAACATATTATATGCTGTCTCTTTTGTGGAGATAGGAAAAGCAGTTTTCTAACATGCCCAGATTAGACTCTGTCTGGTTCTGTAATGGAGAATGCTGGAATTGGGAATGCTGTATTAGTCATGTTTAGGCGTAATTATATCTGCCATTCCATATTCCTTGGTGAGAATTGCAGACATTTAAAAAATTTGCAAAAAACACAACTGCATGTGCTGGAAATCAGAAATTGCTGGAAAATCTCACCAAGTCTAGCAGCATTTGTGAAGGGAAAGCAGAGTTAACATCTCAAAACTGAAGAATCGCTGGTCCTGAAACATTAACTCTGCTTTCTCTCCACAGATGCTGCCAGACCTGCTGAATTTTTAACAGTAGTTTCTAATTTTATTGAAAGATTGTGGATTGTTCCTATTTTTAAAAAAAATCCTACAAGACACTACTGCAAAAGAAATAGCTTAAATCAATGAAATAGCAAAGTGAATAATAGGCCAGTGTGAGTAGTAAAGGCCTTGCAATTTGAGGATTGCAAATGAACCCAAATGGGAAGTAATGCACCAGTGAAAACATACATAACATATTCAATCAACTTTTATTTTCAAAAGTGCAGTGCCCATTTCAGATACAATGATTTGCAAACCTAAGGAGCCATACAAAATACACTTGCAGTATCAAACAAGGTGAAATTGGTACAGTACAGTGCATGGAAGGGTATTCTGCAAGAGGCTGGTATGAGACAGTGCTCTGAACAGTTTAAAGAGGGAAAACTAATACAAGCTTTTGAACTAGATTCGGAGGTGAAGATAATGTTATGCAAAATTACTGAGCTGATCAGACCGAGATATGGGCTGACTCAGAAATTATAGTCGTTCTGAATTACTGAAAACTTGTTTCTCAGTGTAGCCTAATTACTACTTTATGGTGCATTGTCTAGTGCAATGTACCTGTGTTAGTAGCCAGTCACTGGACTTTATATGATTTAAGAATTATAAAGGTTCATAATTAAGTAATGTCTCAATGTTGTCAACCATCCATAATTGGGCAGCGGCTGAAATAATTCAGGTGTGTTAAATATTACTAATTAAGTTACAAAGTGTCAACCCAATTCAGTTATGGAGGACAGAACAGAATAGTGAAAAGCAATCTTTTAATATGCACCACTAAGCCCTGGGCTGTCATAAACTGAGCACAAGGTTGTACACTAGTCATTTTTATATGAGCAAGTAACTTCCTTACTGCTAAAATGTGGGCCAGGTAGAGTGAGGATGTAAGAAAACATTAATAGATTCAGTGTGGAGCCCACAAGTAGAACTTGAGGATTTGACATATCTGCTGACAGCTTAAATAGGAAATTTCAATGTTGTTTGTGAATTCTGTATAAATTAGGGATGTCTTTAAGTTTGTAGCAGATGTTGGAAGGGGAGCAAAATATAAAGACAATCCAAGCACCATTCTCACAACTGAAGACTTTAAATGTCAAAATGCCACAGGCAGCCACTATAGGATTGCCACAAATTATTTTACAATGTGTAGTTTTACTGACTAGAAATAAACATTCATGGCCTGAGGGCTAAAGGAATCAAAGGGTATGGGGAGAAAGTAGGAACGGGAGACTGAGTTGGATGATCAGTCATAACCATACTGTGTGGGTGAAGTAGGCTCAAAGGGCCAAATGGCCTCTTCCTGGTCCTATTTTCTACATTTTTATTCAAACAGGGAGGGTCATTATTGTGCACAGAATAACACCCGTTAGTGCAGCATTTCCTCTGTATTGTACCTGAGATACCACCAGGCATTGTGTGCTCAAAGCCTAGAATGTCACTTGAACATACAAACATCTGACTCAAAACAAGGAAATAGTCAGCAAAGTGATCACTTTAATGTGGACACCATCAAAAACTGAGACAAGAACCAAACGACCAAGAACACAACAACTTGAAATCTTTTTTAAAAATTGAGTTTATAGTTGCATTATCACTTTGCAGGAGCACACCACAGTATTATTAAATTATTATTAAGCCAACAGAGGTCTTCACATAATTTTGAAACAATGCAAATTGTGTAATTTAAAAAAAAGTTTGGTCCAAACATTTTTGTGTTCCGTAGAATTGGCTTTTGTCACGATTCTTTGGATGGAGACTGGCTAATCTGACATATAGTAGCCATCCATTCTGATGGTGCTGGTGGGTTTCTGGAACTCCTGCAGCCTTTCTGATGAAGGTGATCCCATACTGCTGGCAGGCTTTCAGAGTACAGCTATGCTGAGCAACAACAAAGAAATGGTAACACAGTCACATCAAGATGTGGTGTGATGTGACAGGAACCTTGGCATGGTCCCTAGCCTTAAGTGTAGCAGATACCAAGGGTTTGAGAGCTGCTGCCAAAGAAGCCTTGGTGAGTTGTCATCAGCACATTCAATGAGTCCTGCAGGCACGGTAAACTATGGTGTTAAAACAGAAAAGTGCTTAAAATACTCAGCAGGTCCAAGAAACATCTGCAGAGAGAAACAAAGTTCATATGTTGGCTCAGTGACCTTTCATCAGTTCTGATAAAGCATTATCATCAATCTGAAACATTAACTCTCTTTCTTCCCAAAACTGTGCCCTGACCTATGGAGTATTTCCAGCATTTTCTGATTCTGTTTTAATTTCCAGCACCTGCAGTATTTTGGTATGTGTTGCAGAATGTGCATTGTTGTTGCTGCTATACACGTTAGCAAGTACTTGATCATTTCTGGAGCTGTGCCATGTAGGTGAAGAGGCCTAGGAAATCAGCAGCTGAATTACTTACTGCGGAAGACCCAGGCAGTCAAGAGATGGCAAGTATACAGTCCAGTCAAACTGAATCAGGGATTCACTCTTTCCACATCTCCAATGATATTGATATGAAAGACACAAACATGTTAATGCTTTAATGTCAAGGAAAAGTGCCACCATTAGATAGGCACTGTGCCATACAATTGCCAGGAAAACATTACTTGTCACTTATCAGCAAGAGGGTCTGCGCATGGTGACCGGAAGTCACTGCCACGTACGGACCTCAAAAATTCCATCCAGTTGAAAACATTAGCTGATAAGCAGCGTTCCTGCTAAAGTCTGGATAGTTTGGAAGTTGCTGTACACGGGCAAGGATTGTTTCATTATTGGAGGAATCGAGAATAGAGTTGAAGAACGCAATCATTTACAAACAGCTCTACTTCAATCTTATGATAGAAGGAAGGTTGTGTATGAAATAGCTGATGGTATCTGGGCTGAGAATGCTACTGAGACATTTTAACTGTCGGGCTTGTTCAAATGTAACTGTCAATCATTAATTGGTGCAATCTCCATGGCAACACCTCTAAAGTTTGTTTCCCCTAATTGGTATCCTTGCAAATTGTCCTGCTGGAGTGCAAGCTGAGAAGTTTCAACAAAAAATTTTTTTTCCTAGCAGTTCTGCACTAACAACTACGTATCCACTAGTTATCTACAGAGAACAGGCCTCAATAAAATAAGGCTAGAGCGCTGTGGTACCAAAGCTGCAATACTCTGCTGGCTCCCCCTTCCTTCATGGTGAACCTACAGGTGTGTGGGCAGGGCACAGAAGGTTGTTGCAGATAATGATTTTTTTTTTATGTATTTTACATATATCAGAAGCTTGGTCACAGTACAATACCGATCAAAGGCACTCAATTACATGAAATATGATTCGTTTTCCTTCAAGAATTACATCGACACGTACAACTCTAGATTCATCCAATTACAGGCTGTGTCAGTGCAAGCCACATCAAATGTAGAGAAAATAACAGCAAGACCTGCACATGCACATGCACGTACACACACACACTGAGCCATATTCCAGGGTAACAACAAACATACGTTATTATTAACATATAGGAATTCCTCTTTTAAAAAGTTACTGTTGTCAACCAAAAATTGGGAGAGCCTTTGGACACAAGGTCTCAATTTCAACTTTAGACATGGAACCGGGGAAGGAAGCTGGTAACTTCCTTCCACCTCACACTTTGTATGATCAGAAAATCTCCCAAGGACAGAGTCTGACATTCAGCCTGCCTGTAATAACAAGGGTGGGGCACAGGGTGTGGGGAAGGAAGTCTGCTCCTCAAACACACGCACCCTTTTTACATTCAAAAAGACAACGTAATTCAGATCTATTCAAAATAATTCATTCTACTGGGTCTATGTATTTTTAAGCATAAAGGAAAAGTTTTTTTCAGTCATTTTCAATTCTTGGAAAACGTGGCTAGTTAAGAAAAAGAATTCTGAATCAGTCACTATTAATCTTAATTGAAGTTAGCTATTTGGTTTAGTTGAACTAGTTAAAAGAGGATTAACAGCACTTCCATATCATGACACATTGGTACAATAATTCAGAGTTAAACATTGCATCTCTTCCCTGTGTCACAGAACTGCAAAAGAGATGACTGCTATACACTCGACCATTTCTGGAAGATCACGCATTTATTACTGGCTGGCATATCAACCTGAAAAAACAAACCACAATATCATGAGTTCACTAATGCTGATGACTGACCTCTGCTGGCTATCAAATAGTATTACTGCAAAAATAAACAACCACTACCCACTTTGAAATTAAAATGTACCTTCCAGTTTGACTAAATGTTTTCAACTCATTTGGACTGCATTCCAAACGAGTTGGAAACAGTTAGTCAAACTGGAAGACTTTACTCTTCAAACAATATTTCACAAATGTACCATTTTATAAATCAGCAGACACAATCCAATAAAGGGAGCTATTTATTCTTCCTCTTGAAACTTTATCCCCTGAACTGTTATAAACTTTTGCTGACAATCTGTACTTTTTTTACAATTTGTTTTTTGTTTAAACGACAGTGCTGATTTACTTACAATCTGTGAGTTTCATAATGAATTTTGAAAGATTCTGGATTCAAAGTTTTTTTTTGCAGTTAGGCTAGCAGAGAAAATGTTACTGTCTAGACAGTGTAAGTGTTGGGAATTGGCTTAATGACATTTTCCATACTTTTCAATTGGTAAGTGAAAGTTTAAGAGGAACATGATACCAATTATGCCACAATGGTGTGTTCTTTTCCTATTAAAATACAGAGAGAAAATCCTAACATATTCCTTCATAATTAAGTCGGTGAGGAATACCATTGTTTTGGATAGCATTTTACTGCATTTGTGTTAGCAAGCACAGAAATAAAGTACGACTGGACATACTCTGGCACAGGCTACCTTCAAGTACAGAATGGGACTAGTACTTACAGCACAATCAGGCCATCTAGTCCAACCTGTCCTTGTGGTATTAATGTTCCTCTTTTAACCTTACTTTAGTTAAGCCTATCTCAACAGTACTACAGGTAGTTCTCCTATAACCTGATAGTTCTGTTCTTGTGTGATCTTGCGCTATAGAAAATTGCCGTAGAAAACTGCACTAAAGGGAAATCGCTATACCTGTACAGCAGAAAGTTTGCGTTATCCAAACAGCCTCCAGTATTCATCAATTGTGTTATAGCCAATTCGCATTAACGAAACACACGTTATAGCAGAACTACCTGTATACAAGCTATTGTTGCTCATCCCAGATACTGTGATTGATGAGGTGGTTCACAGGTGAAGAGATGCAGGAGGGACAAGAATTGGCATCTGGCAGGTAGGGAAGCTGAAGGGTTGGAGAATGTGATGGAAGGAAAGGAGGAGATGATTGGAGGATAGTAAGGGAATGGGCGATACTGGGAGTCACAATTACTTTGCAAACCCTACTGGTTAGTGGCTTCTTTCAATGGCTGCTTATCATTCAACACCTCCAACCAAAAAGGAGGAAAGAGAAAGAGAACAGAAGGGGGAAAAAAAAACGGATTCAGAACAGGAGACACAGAGAATGAAAGGTAAATGAGAAACCATAACCCTCTTCCTAGACATCGAGGATGACTTGCTTTTAATCCAGTTCAATGGGTCCGGAGAATCTGCAGACTCTACAAATCATGAGGGGTATAGATAGGGTTAATGATAGGTGGATTTTCTCTAGGATGGGGGAATTTTAAGACTGGGAGGCATATTTTTAAGGTGAGAGGAGAGAGATTTCAAAAAGATATGATGGGCAATTTTTTTTTTTTTTACTACACAGAGGGTGGTCATTGCGTGTGGAATGAACTTCCTGAGGAAGTGGTGGACGTGGGTACAATTATCATGTTTAAAAGACATTTGGATAAGTACATGAATAGGAAAAGTTTGTAGGGATATGGGCTAGGTGGGACTAGTTTAGTTTGAGATTATGTTCGGCATGGTTGGCCGAAGGGTCTGTTTCCAAGATTTATGACTCTATGACCCTATGTGGGGCAGGTGGATCAGGAGATGGGGAAATGGTTTGTTTGGAGAGTTAAGAGCTCCTTCCAACACCTCAACTTCACATGCCTTCACAGCAAGCAATTCCGCAGTAAACCAACTTGTGTTGTAAATGTAAGTACATTTTGAGTGAACGACAAGACAGTATGGAAGGGGCTTGACTGTGTTGGGTTCATCACCATTTCACATGCTTATGCTTGATCAAGAACCAAGTAACTCTTACCATCTGCTTGAATGTCATCCCGTTTTCTTCAGCCAATTTCTTTAACAAGCTTATATCTCTCAGACCCCAGATTGGATTTCTTTTAAAAGAAAAATGTTGAATTTTATTAGGGCTGTTCCAAAAGCATCATTTAAAAAAAAACTGTCTTTTACAATAACTGATAAGAAGGAACTAGTTAAAAATAAAAACTGTCATCAAACTTACCTTTGCCTCAAGCTCAAATCAAAATCTATGTTGCTTTGTGGAGTAATTACACCATTGATCGCATAAGGCTGCGAAAAAGAACAATGTTAAATTACATCAGTCAATGACTACCAAAATATCCCTTCCAGCTGTCTTATTTTCAGGTATTAGGGCTGCCAGTTTGTCATATCTTCTAGTTACTAACAAGTGTTGGTTATTGTTGTCAGTATTCCTCCATTTTAGATATTTTCCTAGACGAGCAGTTCAGAGATGTTATTACACACCTCTGCAGCAGGTGGGGCTTGAATCCTGGCCTCCTGGCTCAGAGACAGGGACACTACCATTATAATCCCTTATCTTACCTACCCCTTCAATGCTGAGTCGAACGGCCTGTCTCATTACCATTAAAAGAGGATGGACCAGAAGATAGCCTTAACAAGAGGAACTTGTCTTGAAAGACAAGGGAGGCTTATTGTGTGGTAACAATAGGTACAATTAACATGAACTTGTTCAGAATAATTGCAACAATAAGGGGCTAGGTATGTCAATATCTGTCTCCATTAGGGTTATGAACAACACTGCTTCTCCACTAAAGACAGTGTCCCATCAACAGCTTGGGTAGAGCTTGATATAGCTCAATATTAACTCTTTCAGAATCAAATTAATTTTACAACACCAGCAATGCTCCTTGAAACAGTGAAGAGGCCCAAGAGTATCATACATTGTGGATACTGGATGAGTGGGTATGGGATATGAAGAGACATGGAAATTAAGGATGGGTGAAGGGAGCAGGTCTGAGGGTCAGGGGGCTTCACACTCATCTACAAAGCTGGGCTCATGACCAATGATCATCTCAGTATCTGCCTTTTTATCCATTCTTTCATGGGGTGTGGGTGTCAATCGCAGGGCTAATATGTTGCCCAGTCCTAATTTTGCTGAAACGGAGTGGCTTGCTGAGCCATTTCAGGCAGTTAAGTGTCAATCGTATGCTCCAGATCTGGTCTAATCAGGGCTTTGCACATCTGAAAAATGACCCCTACTCCCTATGTTCTCGCCCTCTACATATAAAGGGCAGCATTCCATTAGCCTCTTTGATCATTTTCTGTATCTATTGCATGGCATTTTAAAGATCTATACACCCGGAGCCCTAAGTTTCCAATCTCCATTATGTTTGGCTTTTCACCATTTAGAAAGTACCATATTTATTCTATCTTACCCTGCGCAAAATGAAAGCCCGCATTGCAATCCATTTGCCCCAGAGTTGTCCATTTACTTGTGATTTATCAATATTTGTTATTTTATACTTTATTGCTTACTTGCCTCCTGTCTTTGCGTCATCAGCAAATTTGTGTCAATGTCTTTCTAACTCATCATGTTGATCTTTGAGGCTCAACACAGACTCAAAGGACATCACTAATAATATCACACTAATTACAGAACTTGCCCATTATCCCTACCCCTGACTTGCTGCCAACTTCCGAAACTTGCCTTCAATTGCATCAGTCTCAACCTTAGCTAACAGTCTTTCATGAGGGACATTAACACATCAATAACTTCCATGGACATTCTCTTGTTGACTACTTCAGTCAACTCTTTAAGAAGTATCAGTCAGATTCATCAGGCATGAACTACACTTTATAAATCCAAAATAGAAACAGAAAGTGCGAGAAAAACTCAGCAGGTTAGTTGCATCCATGCAGAGAGAAACAGAATTAAAATTAAAACCTGTTTCTCTTTCCACATGCAGCCAGACTAGTGAGTCTGTCTAGCACTTTTATTTTAAATCTCCACCGTATGAACACGTGAAATATCATTTATTGCTGCCCCTTCAGTCCCCCAAGCCTACTCCATCATTCAATAAGATCATGGCTAATCTGATTGTGTTTTTAAATCCCACATTCCCATCTACTCCAACAACCTCGGACTCCCCGCCTAGCAAATATCAATCTATCTTTGCCTCCTGTTCCTATTTTCCTATGATGGCTGCACCAATCCAACTCATAGTACCACACTGACACTCTTCCCTTTGCAGGACAGGACAGGCATTACCTGGAGCTGGACTTGTCCTGGCCCTCATTAAGGAACTGAAATTGTTGAAGATGATAGCATCCTCAAACAATTCTCTTTTAACATGTCACCTCCCATACTGTCTTCTCATTTCCAAGCTGCTGCTCTGTGGCGCTCACTGCTGCCACAGAGCTCGCCAGGCTACTCTGGAGTCCTCAAACCCACTTTGGGATGTCCTACAGTGTCCCTCATATTTTGCCCACCCCCACCCCCAACCCCACCTCTATCTCAGTCTCATCCTTCAGTAAAGGCTCCTTTCAGATAACAAGGGAACTTGGTCAAATTGCTCCATGTCACACTGCTTCAGCAGTGCTTCAGACGAGAGAGAGATCTGGAATAAGCTCTGAATTGAGTAACTTTGTCTCATTTTAGGAGTCGGTTTAGGTAACAACTGGTTATGTGGATGCAGCATAAACACATCGTTCATTTCTGAGTGTTGTAGAGCTCAGTGCACAAACTGAAACCAAAATACATGTCAATTTATCATCCTTCTGTGTGTGGGAGGTCACGTCTGCTTTGTCATGGCAACACCTTAGCCTGGTTACTGATCTGATAAAAGATGTTAAGAGATGAATGGCACTGCCGAATGTGAAAACAGAGTCATGTTGTATATGTAATAAACCACGCACAATGAAGCACAAACATCCGCTGGATGATACAATCAGGTTCTAGATGACCAGAAGTGCTTTTTCTCCCCCACACAAACCAGAAGCTTTCCTGCCCATGTTGAATCAGATATGCAGATGTAACACTCTTTCATGAATTTTGTGCTCTCATATGATCAGTTTGTTGTGAAATTTAAAAAAAAAACATTATTGGATGCCAGGAGTCAGGATGTGGAAGTGCCGGTGTTGGACCGGGGTGGGCAAACTCAGAAGTCATAAGACACCAGGTTATAATCCAACAGGTTTATTTAAAATCTCAAACTTTCGGAGCGCTGCTCCTTTGTCAGGTGAAGTCACTTCATCTTACGAAGGAGCGCTGCTTGTGATTTCAAGTAAACCTGTTGGACTATAACCTGGTGTCATATGATTTCTGAGGGAGTCGTGACCAAGTACCCCCACGTTCTGTACATCAGGCAGTAAAGTTTTCCATGGAAATACACACGAGTCTAATGTCAGGTCTGAACTGCTTGATTACAATTTGGGACTAATTTCACACCAGCAATTGTATGAACTCATTGAAAGTAACCTCCCAGTCGCTGTTTTAGTGTGCTGTAATTGCAGTAAGTAAATGTACAACACTGGTTTGTAAATTCTGCTGCAGATTTGCATTAATAGCATTAAGGATATTGAGAGTCAGTGGTTAATTTTAAATCCGAAATAGATAATGCCTTTGCTTAACAAGAATGTAAGGGAAATGGGACAAAGGCAGGTTTATGCAGTTAAGTCACAGATCAGTCATGATCACATTGAATGGTAGAACAGGGTTGAGGGGCTGAATGGCCTACTCCTGTTCCTGTGATCCAAACCTAGACATGCAGCATTTAAACTAAATGAACAATATACATAATAATCCAGCACCACGAAACAGGAAACAAAACTAGCATGTGCAGCATTATTTTGTAATTCCATGAATGCCAAAAAGAAAGCATGCATTTATATAACACTGTTCACAATCTAAGGATATCTTAAAGTGCTTTACAGTCATTGAAGTCAGAGCAGTCACGACTGTAATGCAGAAAATGTGGCAACCAATCTACAACACAGCAAAACTCAAACAAACAGCAATGTGATAACATCCAGATACCCTGCATCATACATCACTGCCTATGCATGCACAGAGGGTGCTGCTGAGAATAAAATGCTGCATTTCTTCTGGCATTTCAGTTTCAAACTTTCCAGTTTGGGGGCACCAGCTGCCTCCTCTTCACTATGGACGTGCAATCCCTTTACATGTTCATGCCCCATCATAATGGCCCTAGGGTTCTCTGCTTCCTCCTGAAAAAAAGGCCTGAACTATCCCCCATCCATCACTACCCTCCTCTGCCTGGCCAAACTCGTCCTCACTTTGAACAACAACTCCTTTAATCCTTTAATGTCTCCCACTTTCTTCAGGTCAAAGATGTGGCCATGAATTACCCACATGGGTCCCGGTTCTACTTGTCTCTTTGTGGGTGGTGGTTGGGAGTATGTGGAATATTCCTTACTGCAGTCCTACTCCAGCCCCTACCTATAATCCTTTCTCTGGTTCATCAACAACATCATTATCAATTTCGCTTCTAATTTCCACTCAGCTGTCACCTTCACCTGGTCCATCTCTGACTCCTCACTTCCCTTCCTCGATATCTCTGTTTCCATTTCTAGAGATAGGCTGGCCACCAGTATCCATTACAAACCCACCAACTCCCACAGTTACCTCGACTATACATCTTCACACCCTGCTTCCTGTAAGGATTCCATCCCATTCTCCCAGTTTCTCCATCTCTGGCACGATGCCACCTTCCGCAGGGGGCTTTAGAAAAGTCGACCTTTCTCCTCAACCGATGATTCCCCACCAACATAGTTTACAGGGCCCTTAGCCGTGTCTGACCCAGTTCCCACACTTCGGCCCTCACCTCTTCTCTTCCCTCCCAAAACACGATATGGTCCCCATATCTTTATTTTCCACCCCACCAGCAATCCCATCCACAGGATCATAAGCCACCAATTCTACAATCACCATCGGGATGCCACCATCAGACACATATTCCCCTCCCCTCCCCTCCCTGTCAGCCTCCCACAGGGTCCTTTCCCTCTAGGGCACCTTGGCCCAGTCCTCCTCCACTCCCAACACCACCCATACCCCCACAGCACCTTCCCATGCAATCGCAAAAGGTGTAACACCCTCCCGTTTACCTCCTCCATCCTCACTATCCAAAGGGCCTAGACCCACCTTCCAAGCGAAGCAGCGATTTACCTGGACCTCATTCAATCTAGTCTAGTGTATTCGCTGCTCACAATGTGGCGTCCTCTACAGTGGGGAGTTGAGACACAGACTGGGTGACTGCTTTGTGGAACACCCACGCTCCATCTACAAAAATGACTCTGAGTTTCCAGATGCCTGCCACTTCAATATACCACTGTATTCCCTGGCCAGCATTTCTGTCTAGGACCTGCTGCAGTGCTCCAGCTAGGCTCAGCTGGAAGAGCAACATTTCACTTTCTGCTTGGGCACCCTGCAGCCTTCAGGACTATCAAGTTCAATAATTTTAAAGCCTGAACACCTCCTTCCATGTACTTTACCCACCCCCACAACCCAGGTCCTGTCTTGACATGAGCTGATTTCAGCACAGCCAACCATTTATCAGCTTTTCTCTTTCTCTGGCTTTCCCTTTGTCCATCTGTTTCTCTCTGGGACCTGTCTGCACCGATCAACTCACTTTTTCTGCCTCAACCCCTTTCATCAACCACCTTTTCCTCAATACAAACAGTTCTGAAGAAGGGTCACTGGACTCAAAGCATTTAATCTGCTTTCCCTCCTCAGATGCTGACAGACTTGTTGAGTTTCTCCAGCAATTTCTGGTTTTGTTTCAGATCTTCAGCATTTACAGTTCTGCATTTTATCCAAGTACCACTGGTCATTGAGCAGTGTGCCCCAGCAGATCCTCATGATGGGCAACAGACATAGCAGCTACAGACTGAATTTGGACCTTCTGGGTGGGGGCATAAACCTTTCCCACCGCCTGGCTTTCAGCAGCTGTAGCTTCTCTGAACATCCAAGGGCTGGCTCAATAGACTTTCCTTTCGATTGGACAGTTGTGTCCATCGTTTGGCCGGGGTGGCAAATTTCTGTTCCTGTACATACCTTGTGCTACCTAGAGGTGGCATTACTACAAAAAGCAGACGAGGCCTCAGTTTTACATCTTTTCCTTGTAGTACAAGAAGACAGCACTTTGTTGACAGGATCTGGGTATTGCTGGCTGAGTCAGCACTTGTTGTCTACCCACTGACTCTGAAGAACGTGGAGGAGAGCTGCCTTCACCAACTGCTGCAGTTCTTGGGGTGAAGGTGCACCCATAATGCTGTTAGGAAGGGAGTACCGAGAGGGCTTTAACATGGGAATTTTGATGAAGGAGGAGTGGTGCAGTGGTGAAGTAATAATAGATGTGATAATGTTGGCAAAATTCCATCCAAGGAAGGACAGGTTAGGGGGTGGGAGAGATGCTGGGAAAGGTTAGTCGGCTACACAGAGCAGATTACGTCTCATAAGGGGTACGGCCACAATGGTAGGAAGCTCTAGGACTTAGAGATGAGGACTCAGTTAGACTCAGACACAAGCAGAGGGCATTCAGTAACATAAAGGCGAATTTGAATGAACTTCCTTTATTAAAATGTTGCCAATTTAATTAGTGCCCTGTATAAAGAGGCAAAGAAACAATTTATTCCTGAAAGGAGACAGATAGAAGTTCAGTTTCAAAATTATCTTGGAAAAAAAATTCCAAAATGATTACTAAAACATTTCACAATGAACAAACTGGCAGATTGAGCAAAAGGAAATTGTGGTCAGTCAGGTTCCAGGTATCGATGATATGAATTACCATGCTTCCACCTGCACCATCTGATCTGCCAATGAGCCAATCAAACAAAAAAAAACAGACATTCAAACCCTTATTTAGTTTTGGCAGCATTGCTCTGGGTCACTACAAAGACTGTTGAAATTTTAACTTTATTTCTTTTTTTCTTATTTATATTGAGAATGACATTAACTATTACCTTATTTCTTTACTTTTCTACTTATTTTACGAAGGCAATTCTTCACTTTTTAAACTTTGTTTCTTTTGCTAGTTTTTATACCTAGGTACTTTTGTGCCTAAGGTGGCACCTTGTGTGGCGATATTATATACTTTTCACTGTACTCCTGTGCTTCTGTTCTTGAATACACGTGACAATAAAATCTAGATCTAAATCTAAATCTAGAGTACAGGATTTGGTTTAAGGTCTCAGATTTGACCCAGCGGTAGCACTCTAGCCTCTGTAGCAGAATCTTGGGAGTTCATATGAACAAGGAGCAAGAGGAGATCATTCAACCCCTTGAGCCTGCTCTGCCATTTAATAAGATCATGGCTGATCTGACAGTAAGCTCAAACCCACATTTCCTCCTGCCGTGACAAACCTTTCACTCCCTTGCCCAACAAGAATCAATTCACTTCTTCTTTTAAGGACTCTGCTTCCACCAGCTTTTCAGGAAGAGAGTTCCAAAGACTCATGACCCTCAGAGAGAGAGAAAAATAAATCAGTTCTTTAATTGGATGACTGCTGATTTTTGAAATACTGACCCAAAGTTCTAGATTCTCCTACAAGAGGAAACATTCATTCCAGATCTGCCTTTGTCAAGACCCCTCAAGATTATATATGTTTCAAATATATGCTTCTTACTCCTCTATGAATATAAGTCGAGACTGTCCACCCTTTTCTCATAACACAACTCACTCATTCCAGGTATCTGTTCACATCCTGCTTTGAAGACCTCAGGCTAACACTCTGGGGCAGTACAGGATGATGTCTATCCTATTAGAGGAGTCACTTTCAGAATTGGTGTTAAACTGAGATTATGTCTACTTTCTGAGGTGGATGTAGAAGGTCCCGTCACACTACTTCAAAGTGGAGAAGGGAAATTGTCAGTGTAGTACTAATTCCTCAATCAACATCACAAGAACAGGTTATCATGGTCATCAAATTGCTGTTCCTGCAAATATGCTGTGTGTCAAATGGCTACAATGACTCCTATCACTTCAATGACATTAAAATACTTTAGAACATCATGAAAGGAACCATATAAATGCAGATCTTTCTTACAGCACCTCCTGGCATTAGTGGCAGTACGGGGGTGGCAGAAGGAAGAGTGAACATCGAATCAGGTAGAATTCGCACTGTGAACTGCGAAACAGAGGCACCTGCTTGCACATCTATGTTAGAAAATACCCAGTGCAGGTATAACTGGCTTCAAGTGCGATACTCAGCTAATGACATGTACAGGGTGTGGTAGCACAGTGGTTATCTCACTGATTTAGCAAACCAGAGGCTTGGACTAACAATCCCACAGGATTTGAATCCCACACTGTAGCTGGAGAATTTAAATTTAAATTCAAATTCAATTAATTGAATAAAATCTGGAATAACAAGTGAGTTCTTGTAAACATGAAACTTCTGCACTGCCATTAGAGCCCATTTGATTCATGAATGTCACTCAGGAAAGAAGATCTGTGACTCCTGACCCACGGCAATCCAGGTCAGTGATTCTGAAATACCCTATGGATTGCCTGAAAGATATGTTATTTGTATTCAGAAAGGCAGCTTACCTTGCCTGTGGGAGGGGGTGGTTAGGTGTTCGTTTATAGGAGATTCCTTACCAATGTCATGCTGATGCCGTGAGATGCCCGTGGGGGATACTGAGGACTCCCGAGGCAACACCTTCCCAAGTATATATCAGTGTGCCACCACATCTGCTGGGTCTGTCCTGCCAGTGGGACGGGGATGGAGGATATCGTGTCCAGGACGTTGTCTATCAGGTATGATTCCATAACAATGGCAACATCAAGCTGTTGTTTAACTAATGTGTGGGCCAGCTCAGCACAGGTTCCCACCTCTTTGCAAAGAGGTCTCTGTCCCATTTTGGTCTGTCCAGTTTCATGTCTCTTCTTCGGCTGATTAGTGGTATCATACAACATTTCAGATGGCAACTGATCATTAGATTAGATTCTTTAACTTCCAGATTTCTAAACTGAATTCAAATCTCACCATCTGTTCTGGTGAGATTGGAATCCAGGTCCCACAGCATTATCCCGGGTTAACAAATTATTAGTCCAATGATCTTTGCCTCTTATCCCCAGATCCTTTTGTTAGAGAACCTGGGATTTGAAGCAAACCCCAGAGCATCAAGCCTAGGTCCCTGGACAACGAATCCAGTGGAATTAACACTTTTCAGAAGTTACACAAGGTTCTCAGTGTTTGTACGATAAACTTCCTTCGATTTGGAGAGCAGTACTGTATATTACTTTTCCCAAAACAAATGACTTGGCACCATGCAGAGAAGTGAAAATTACATAAAACTTAATATAATTCCTCTATTATTAACATGATAATAATAATGCTGGCTATGAAAGGTGGTAATAAATCATTCCATTGTCATCCAATCTAATATAATGGATTACTTACCCCATAAGTAATAAGTAAGGCCTCTGGTTTTAGTAACTGGCCAGCACCTTTGAACAGGCCCTGCGGGAAACAGAAGATGATAAATAATATTTTGTTCATGGCAAGGGGGAAAACATTAAAGATAGAACAAATACAAGAATACAAGAGAGCAGGAGCAGACTGTACAGTCCATGAAGCCTGCACTACCGTTCACCATCCACAATCATGGCTGATCTTAGGCTTTAACTCCACTTTACCATCCATTCCTCATATCCCTCACTCCCCTGAGAGATCTTAAATATGTCCAATCATGGAGCATCCACTAACCTGAGGAAGAATATCCAATAGATTTACAACTCTTTGAATGGAGTGATTTCTCTTCATTTAAGTCCAAAATGATTGGGCTCTTATTCTGAAACTGCCTGTGCTTTCGACTCCACCACCAGTGGAAACAAACCCTCAGCATCTACCCAATTAAATCCCTTCAGAACCATGCTTCAATGAGATCATCTCTCATTCCTCTGAACCTTGGAGAATATGGACCCAATTTGTTGAATCTAGATGACACAGTTTTTTTTTTCTACTCAATTGACGGATGTGAGCGTCGCTGGCTGGGCTAGCATTTCTTGCCCAACCCGAGTTGCCCTTGAGAAGGTGGTGGTGAGATGCCTTCTTGAACCTCTGCAGTCCTCCTGCCGTACGTAGGAAGGGAATTCCAGGATTTTGACCCAGCAACAGTAAAGGAACCGTAATATATTTCCAAGTCAGGATGGTGAGTGGCTTGGAGGGGAATTTGGAGGCGGTGGTGTTCCCATATATCTGCTGCCCTTGTCCTTCTAGATGGAAGTGGTCGTGGGTTTGGAAGGTGCTGTCTAAGGATCTTTGGTGAATTTCTGAAGTGCATCTTGTAGATAGTACACGCTGCTGCTACTGAGCATCAGTGGAGGAGGAGTGGATGCTTGTGGATGTAGTGCCAATCAAGTGGGCTGTTTTGTCCTGGATGGTGTCAAGCTTCTTGAGTGTTGTTGGGGCTGCACTCATCCAGGCAAGTGGGGAGTATTCCATCACACTCCTGATTTGTGCCTTGTAGATGGTGGACAGGCTTTGAGGAGTCAGGAGGTGAGTTACTCGTCGCAGTATTCCCAGCTTCTGGCCTGCTCTTGTAGCCACTGTGTTTATGTGGTGAGTCCAGTTGAGTCTCTGGTCAATGATAACCCCCAGGATGTTGATAGTGGGGGATTCAGTGACGGTAACACCACTGAATGCCGAGGGGCGGTTGTTATATTGTATCTTATTGGTGATGGTCATAGCCTGGTATTTGTGTGACACGAATGTCACTTGCCACTTGTCAGCCCAAGCCTGGATATTATCCAGATCTTGTTGCATTTGAACATGGACTGCTTCAGTATCTGAGGAGTCACAAATGGTGCTGAACATTGTGTAATCATTGGCGAACATCCCCACTTCTGGTCTTATGATAAAGGGAAGGTCATTGATGAAGCAGCTGAAGATGGTTGGGTCTAGGACACAATCCTGAGGAACTCCTGCAGAAATGTCCTGGAGCTGAGATGATTGACATCTAACAACCACGACCATCTTCCAATTGTCAGGTATGACTCCAACCATTGGAGAGTTTGCCCCAGATACCCATTGATTCCAGTTTTGCTAGGGCTCCTTGATGCCACACTCGGTCGAACGCAGCCTCGATATCAAGGGCTGTCACTCTCACTTCACCTTTGGAATTCAGCTCTTTTGTCAATGTTTGAACCAAGGCTGTAATGAGATCAAGAGCTGAGTGGCCCTGGCGGAACCCAAACTGGGCATCACTGAGCAGGTGCTGCTTGATAGCACTGTTGATGACACCTTCTATCATTTTACTGATGATTGAGAGTAGACTGATGGGGCGGTAATTGGCCAGGTTGGATTTGTTCTGCTTTTTGTATACAGGACATACTTGGGCAATTTTTCACATTGTTGGGTAGATACCAATGTTGTAAGTGTACTGGAACAGCTTGGCCAGGGGAGCAAAAAGTTCTGGAGCACAGTACTATTGCCGGAATGTTGTCCAGGCCTGTAGCCTTTGCAGTACCCAGTGTCTTGATATCATGTGGAATCAATCGGATTGGCTGAAGACTGGTATCTGAAAGGCTGGGGACCACTGGAGGAGGCTGAGACGGATCATCCACTCGGCACTTCTGGCTGAAGATTGCTGTGAATGCTTCAGCCTTACCTTTTGCCAGATACCTTTCAGTGGAAAGGTACCTAAAGGGGCAAAGAGATTGGCTGCAACATATTTGTCACAGGTATATTGCCTCCAATGACTGGAAAGGTCCATAACCAATGATGAAAGCAGTAGATACTGGCACTGGAGGATCTTGAAACTTGCTCTGGCAGAATATTGTCAGCCTGTCCTGGCTCTCAGGTGAAATATTGAGGTGCCAGATACCTTGCATTTAGGATTTAGGTAGACAATCATTTGCTGAGCAAGCCACCTATGAAACTTGCTTGCCAAGTGCAACAACAAAAACTTAAACAGCCACAGAGAATTACAGAGTTATCTGTATGAAAATGGAATTTCCATGTATTAGTTGTCTATGTTTGGAAATTTTGCCTTTGGAAACGTTTGCCTTTTTCGAAATGATGAGAACCAATCCCAGCTCCCAGCAACAAAACTACAAATTTTGTTACTTGCATTTCTCTTGCATAGTAAACTTAAATTTCTGATTTTTACCATATGTTAAGTCAGGTTTGAAAATGTAGGAAAGGAGATGTGAGGTTTGTAGATGACCAAACACCAGAGAAGCTTCATGGGAGCTGAGGCACAAACCATTTGGATGGGAAATGAGAAAGCCCCTTTTCCCACAATGAGGGTGAAATGGGGTCTTCTCTTCCCAAACTGTTTAGATGCTAGGTTTATAGAAATTTCCAAGACAAAATTGTTCAAAATTTATTCAGTAATTGTGTCTAATGATGTGGATTAAAGAAAGGTAAAGACAGGTCAGATTGATGCTGACCAATCTAATTGACTGTGGAACAATCTACAGCAGTGCTTTGCAACTGTTTCTCTATGTGACCCTGTTTTAAGGTTTGACCCCTCAGCAAAACCTGTTACAGTGGAAGGGCAGCTGCAATTAATTGGTCGGAGCTGCACAGTGGCCATTGCTGCCTCAGGGATCGTGACCCCAAAATTTTGACTGACAACCCCACTAGCTATCCTGATACCCCACTTTGGGAAAACTTGATCTAGAGGAACTGAATAATCTTTTCTAGTTCCTTTATCCCTGTATAAATCCCACCATAGAATTGCGAAATTGAATTCACTCATCTCAACCATGCTTGCATTTGCACCAAAAAATAATGAAAGCTCAAATATTATAAAAACAGAATTAATTCGCAAATGTCTTTCAGGATGATGAACCTGTGGCCCTCTAACAATAAAACAGATAATTTGGAAGTTTGCAGACTCAAAACTCAAGACAACCCAGAGGGATCTTGGGGTTCAAGTCTACAGTTCCATGAAACTGGCCACACAAGTAGATAGGGTGGTGAAGGTGGTGTATGGCATGGTTGGCTTTTATTGGTTGGGGAATTGAGTATAAGAGTTAGGATGTCATGTTGCAGCTTTAGAAGACTTTGGTTAGGCCGCACTTAGAAGACTGCATTCAATTCTGGTCACCATATTACAGGAAGGATGTGGAGGCTTTGGAGAGGGTGCAGAAGAGGTCTACCTGGATGCTGCCTGGATTAGAAGATATGACCTATAAGGAAAGGCTTGAAAAACTTGGGTTGCTTTTTCTGGAGCGGCAGAGGCTGAGGGGAGACTTGATAGAAGTCTATAAAATTGTGAGATGCATAGACAGCCTGGACAGTCAGAATCCTTTTCCCAGAGTTGAAATGTCTAAAACTAAGGGGCATTTAATTAAGGCGAGAGGGAGAAAATTCAAAAGAGATGTGAGGGGCAAGTTTCTTTACACAGAGTGGTAGCAGTCTGGAACACACTGCCAGTGGTGGTGGTAGAAGCAGATATGATAGGGGTATTTAAGGGGCTTTTAGATGAGCACATGAATGTAAAAGGAATGGAGCAATATGGACAAAGGGCAGGCAGATGGGATTTGTTTAATTTGGTGTCATGTTCAGCACAACATCGTGGGCCAAACAGCCCGTTCTATATGTGCTGGACTGTTCTATGTTCTAAATGTAGTACACAGTGAGGATAGTAACAGATGGGTGAAATGAGCAGCACAAAACAAATGAATTTAACGCTGAGATGTGTGAAGTAATGCAGTTCAAGGCAAGGCAATATAAAATAAATAATACAATTCGAAAGGAAACACAAAAAGAAAGAGGCCAGGAGCACTGTATGTAGAAACATCTTAGAAGGCACCAAGACAAGTTGAGTAAGCTGCTGTAAGATAAATGGGATTCCTGGCTTTATAAATAAACATTACATAGGCAAAGAAGTTATTACTGAACCTTTAAACAAAAAGCACAGGTTTATGTTTCAGTTGGAATATTGTGACCATTTCTACGCACAAGTCTTCAGAAAGGGCCTTAGAGAGTGCAGGGTGATTTACTAGGATGGTACCAGGAATGAAGGCCTTTGACTAAATGTCAAGACAAGAGAAACTTCAATTGATCTCCTCACAACAACAGGAGGGTAAGTATTCATAAATCATAAATAAGGAGAAATAGTGTCCAGTAGCAGAAAGGTCAGCACCCAGAGGACACACATCTAAGGTAATTTCTAAAAGAACTAGGAGTTAGCATGAAGATAAAATACTAATCCAACAAGTTGTTGTGATCTGAAACTCACTGTCTGAATGGGTAGGATTGCCAGATTCAATAGTAGCTCAAAAAAAACTGCATAAATACCTGAATGGAATGAAGACAGAATAGAGCCATACAACATGGAAACAGACCCTTTGGTCCAACCAGTCCACGCCATGTTCCCAAACTAAACTAGTTCCACCTGCCTGCATTTGGCCCACATCCCTCCAAACCTTTCCTATTCATGTACTTATCCAAATGTCTTTTAAACACTGTAACGGTGCCCGCATCCATCACTTCCTCTGGAAGTTCGTTCTGATGATAAAGGAAGAGTACAAGAGTGCGATCAAATGGATTGTGCTTTGGAAAAGATGCATTGACATGATGCTGAACATGGATTACATCTCTGTTTCTACTTTCTCCAATAGATAACACAGTCTTCAGTTATTGTGAAGCTGCTGTCTCAAATTCCGTATAAAAGATAGGAGCAGGAGGAGGCCATTCAGCCCTTCGAGCCAGCTCCGCCATTCTTCACGATCATGATTGATCATCGAACTCGATAGCCTAATCCTGCTTTCTGTCCATAAACTCTGATCCCATTCGCACCAAGTTCTATATCTAGTCACTTCTTGCATAGATTCAATGTTTTGGCATCAACTACTTCCTGTGGTAATGAATTCCACAGGCTCACCACTCTTTGGGTGAAGAAATGTTTCCTCATCTCCGTCCTAAATCATCTACCCCGAATCCTCATACTGTGACCCCTGGTTCTGGACACATCCACCATCGAGAACATCCTCCCTGCATCTACCCTGTCCAGTCCTGTTAGAATTTTCTAAGTCTCTATGAGATCCCCCCCTACCCCTCACTCATCTGAACTCCAGCGAAAACAATCCCAACCTAGTCAATCTCTCCTCATACATCAGATCTGCCATCCCTGGAATCAGCCTGGTAGACCTTTGCTGCACTCCCTCGAGAGCAAGAGCATCCTTCCTCAGAAAAGGAGAGCAAAACTGCACACAATATTCCATCTGATTGTTATTTGCCTTTTTAATGCCTTCACCTTTAAAAAGCCTTTTCAGAATTTTTTGGTTCAATCATGACACTGGGGCCTCTGCCAAACTGAACTGATCAAGTATTCTGTGAAGCAACTTGGCGGGTGGCGGGTGGAGGGTAAAGGTGCCATACAAATACAATGTATTATTGTTGTAATTACCATTATGGTCACTCACATGAAAGAAAGGATAATGCTACCAAAATAGTCATCTTATCATTTTACACCTATACATCATGTTTTAAATTTTAAACAAGATTTAAGAATTGACAAATTCCTAAAGTGATGCTTTATAATACACTTTGATCAATGATATACCAGAAGAATGAATTGGAAAGCATTAATTCTTTACAAAAGTTAAATCATTTAAATGAAAAGCAATTGAATCATAAGATTATGGATTAATATTAAACATGGGTCTTATGCATAACAGAATTGCAATCAATTTTAACATTACTTCAGTCCATCATTTAGTTGTTCAACTGAATGCCTGGATTAGCTGCTTGTTCACCATCAGATGTTTTGAACATGCAGGGCAACGTGGTTCTTTGGGAATGGCAGGAATGATGCCTATTGATTCAACACAGCAAATTCACACAAATGAACAGAACTCTCACCTCAGTGCACTTCATCTCTGTGATGTGAATCATGTTAATATTTACAATAAGATCAAAGGAATTTGGTTTCACGCCTCTCCAGGTCTCCCAGCTCTGTGAACAGTCAATATGAAGTGGCTGCTTTACATTCGCCACTTTCGTTGCTGCAATATATGCTGAGATGCTAAAACAAAAGAAACCGTTTTAGGACAAGACTTTTCAGAAGACAACAATTTGAGACAATAAATAAGTTAATGAGAAACATGACAAAACAGCAATTCAACCTGGGCATTTAGACGATCACCTCTACCTCAAACTGATTCACAAATTTAGCAATTAGCAGAACAGCATCTGGTGCATGTGTAAAATGCATACAAAAACGTACGTCATATTCCAAAGTGTTATACACATACATGTCACATTTGGTGATTACTTGAGCCAATTAAATTAAGCATACAAATTCACCCAAATAAGAGCAAGTAGGAAAAGCCATCATACATCAACCAACAAGATAAACAACTCACAAGCTATCAAGATCACACAATGTATTTTAATTTCCCACTAATTACAATAAATAACAATAGTTGATTTAGTTTCTCAGACCATCTGATTATTAACACTTGAAACTTAAAATAACACTAGGGGAGAAGAGGAGAAAAAGCAAACACACTAAAAACAATTAACTGCATTTGGATAGCAGCAGAGACACGTTTACAGGGCGCAAGATCATTTTTCTATGGTCCGCAAGCAATTCCTTGAATTCATTGAAGTAGCACTGTGAGATTATGGCATGACATGGCATGGACTAAGTTAGGTGAACGACCTGTTTGTGTGGAGTACATCCCATAAAAAAAGGCAAAGTCACCATTGTCAGACTTTAGGGTTACTCTCTCATTAAACAGAGATGACTGGTGGTTGTTTAACCAGAGGGTCACCATGCCTCGAGTGAGGGGAGAGGTTGAGAATGACAGTTCTTCATGGTAACCTCAGCCATTCCAGGAACTGAACCCACATATGTTGTCCTCATAAAAGGAGCATTGTGGGAGATATTTTTTATAATGTTGATTTTTTTTCTCTTCACTTTAATACAGCAAGTTGTGAGGGTCCGAAGTTGATACATTTTGCTTGATACTCGTAACTTCAAAGCACTTCTTGAGTCTCTTGTTAAAGTGTTATCACTCATGCAACAATGTGGTTATTCTGTAAATACATTGTTTCAATTAGCAGTGACATCCCTGTAATTTGGTACACCGTCTTAACCTTGCATCTGCCTCGCTTAAGTGTCTCGCCCAAGTCCATTCTCCATGTAATTCAGTTAATTAAATTTACTGCTCCCTTTGCTCCCTCTATTAAATCATTATAGATATTTTTAATCAATGTGTTCAGATATGTTTTGACACATATCTAAAGAAGATAGGACTTGGGCCCAGGCTTTCAAGCCAAAAGGTAGGGACACTACCACTGTGCCACAAGGGCCCTTATTAAATAACTACATGCAGACCTCCAGTATGTGAGCATTAGACTTGGAATAATTACTCTACTTCCCTAAGGATAGTTTTTCAATCACTTGCAATAGTCCTGCCCGGGTATTAACACATGGTGATACTTATAGTAACTGCTTTTTGAAAACTGCCTTTAATTATCAATTATAAAAGCAAAGCCAGAGAGGATATAATTTCCTAATAAATTCTAATGATAAAGTCTCTATCTTGGGGTTTTCCCTCAAACTGGGTGATACATTAACAATTAAGTGCCTATGAATTGCTTCAACTCTGTCAGTTTCAATTTTGTGAGATAACTTGAAGCTTGTTGCAAATTGAGTGTTAACTGTTTAACACATCCACTTCTCATCCAGACAATGAGTGGGTCAGTGTGGAGAAAAGATTAGAGGCAGGTTTGCATTAATTCCCACAATCTGCAGGTGGATTCAGTGATTAAAATAAATGTATTCCAAAGAATCATCATAATTCCAAGGTAGCAAATTTTTTTTCATACATACACTTTACACAAGTTGTGGCATTGCTGGCTAGGCCAGCATTTATTGCCCATTCCTAATTGCCCAGAGGGCAGTTAAGAGTCAACCACATTGCTGAGAGTCTGGAGTCACATGTTGGCCAGATCAGGGAAGGAACTCTGCTGTCCTTGCCCAAAAAGTCATTAGACGAACTAGATTAGAGACAAAAATGCAGATGCTGGAATCAAAGGTAGATAAACAGGAGACTGGAAGAACACAGCAAGCCAGGAAGCATCTGGAGGAAAGGAGAAGTCAACATTTCGGGTATTACTGTTCTTCAGGACTGGTCTTGAGGAAGGTGAACCACACGTTTATTTTGCAAAAATCCTGGTCATAATCTGACTCTTACTTCCAGATTTTTATTAAATTCAAACTCCACCATCAGCTGTGGCAGGATTTTAACACAGGTCCCTAGAACATTACACTGGATCAACAGTCTAGCGACAATACCACCAGGCCATTACCTCCCTTACATACACACAAAATCATTAAGGTCCAAGTTATTGCAGACATTTAAACAGAAAATGATGACAATACTCAATAGGTCAGGCAGCATCTTTGGAGACAGAAAGAATTAATGCTTCAGGTCACTGAACTTTCATCAGAACTGGGAAAATGTTAGAGATTTTCTGAAGAAGGGTCCAGACCCGAAACGTCAACTTTCCTGCTTCTGTGATGCTGCCTGGCCTGCTGTGCTGCTCCAGCTCCATGCTGTGTTGTCTCTGACTCCAGCATCGGCAGTTCTTGCTTTCTCAAAGTTAGAGGTGTAATGGGTATTGAATAAGAACAGAAACAGGGAAGCAGATGTAGGGGTGGGGTGGGGAGTAGTTGTTGGGAAGAAGAGTGGAGAAGATGACCAATAAAAAGAAAAGATCAGTGGCAGGATGCAAGGCAAGAGAGATAGGCAAGGTTTAATAAAACCTAGAAAAAGATGTTGTTAAAAGGGAAAAGTAAAGACATTAAAGCTGCCTCTACAGCAGGTATAAACAGGAGAAACATCAGCAACGCCTCTGGTGAAAAAGGGGGCATCAGATAGGATATGAAATTGTTGAACTCCGGACTGAGTCCAGAAGGCTAAATAGTATCTAAACAGAATCTGAGGTGGTACGAAGGTTCATTGGAATGTTGTATTAAAAGGTATTATTAATTGCATTAATTAATTGTATTAATGTATTATAGAAGGATTAAGCGAGTGGGCAAAAGCTTGGCAAATAGAATATAAAGCAGGGAAATGTCAGGTTATGAATTTTGGCAGGGAGAATAGAGGAGCTGAATATTATTTAAATGGAGAAAGACTGCAGAAAGCTGCCATCCATGTTCAGCGGCTAATATGAAAGGCGAACGGAATGTTGGTCTTCCTTTGAAAGGGAAAGTAGGGACATTTTGCTAAAACTGAACAAAGTACTAGTAGTTAATTGGTCCCTTTTTTTAAGGAAAGATATACTGTCATCGTAGGCAGTCCAGAGAAGGTTCACTAGGCTGGTACCAGGTAAGCAGGGACTATCTTTTGAGGAGTGGTTGAGTAAGTTTAGTGTGTATTCACTGGAATATAGAAGAATGAAAGGTGACTTTATTGAGACATACAAGACTCTGAGAGGAGTTAACAGAGTGGATGCATAAAGGTCGTTTCCTCTTGTGAGAGATTCAAGGATTATGCGACATTATCTCAGAATAGGGGGTCGCACATTTAAAACAGAGATTAGGAGGAAATTCTTCTCCTAGATGTCTGTATAACTGTGGAATTCTTTACCACACAGGGCTGCCAAGGCTGGGTCATTAATTATGCTCAAGGCTGAGATAATCAGATTTTTAATGTGTAAGGAGATCAAGGGTTATAAAGCAAAGGCAGGAAAGTGGGGTTGAGGGTTATCAGGGCAGACTCAATTGGCTGAATGGCCTGGATCTGCTCGTGTATCTTATGGTGTAAGAGGGTGGGGTCAGAGTACGAGTTGGACAGAGAATTACAGGAGATAGAAAGTGAAATAACTCCACAGAGGCTGGTATCCCATCACCAAGTCACCCTTTTTTGACATGTGGAGAGTCCATGACACTGATCCAACTCCCTCAGAGCCAGCTCTCCGAGTGACCAGGACATCTGACCCTCCTGTTTATATCTGTCAGCCAGGGCTCCCTGATTGCACTAGATTAACAGCCCCAATCAGGGAAGTATATTCTATAATGTCCACCTGGCTGACCTCATTATAGTTACTACAGAAAGTGCACGGTCACTATTGTGGACTTAATGGAGGAGTGCCACAAAGTGATCACCCATGTATTTCGTTTAGCCAACATGTATACTCATAATATTAAAACCAAATTACTGTCACAATGACAGAAGATACCCTACAAAAGCCCAGCATTTTTTTCTTGCTTGTTTGACAGAATAGCACACAAAAATAAAGCAGATAGAGAAGTAATCAAATCAGACTAGTTTTGAATTGAACAAGCTCTGGCACTGAAGATATTTTTGATCCAAAAAGTAAGAAAAAGTGACCAACCAGAAGCCAAACAACGAGTATCTCAAGAGAACAATATCAAAAGCACAGCTGTCACAAAGCAGAATCGCACACAAATTGTGGTTATCGAGTAAAATATTCATTAAAAATGTCCTCACTTCATAACTGTTCCATGCCCACATATATACGTGTGAGTGACATTATTCATCTTGACTTTTTCTAATGAAAAAAGATGAAAGTTACAAATGGCCACTAGCTGGAACATTATGTACGCAATGAATAATAAAAGAGCTCTGAAATGGACTGATGTATTAGTGTCATTTTAATGCAATCAATCACTGTCAGAACCTTCAGAAGAAATTTAGAGATACTTTGACAAAATAATTTCTCTACAGCACGGTAAGCACCATGATGCACTCCACAAATAAATAAAACATCACCCGGGGAAAAGACATGACGCTGTAATGCAGTTTTCTTTCCCCTACAAACAGTATTTTCATGGATTTAATTTTCCTTCTTTATTATTTCACAGATGTAGCCGTTGCCGGTTAAGCCAGCATTTGCTGCCTACCCTAACTGTGCCTGAACTGAATGGGTTGCTATGCCATATCAAAAGCTAACTTTCAATTCCAGATTGATTCATTGAATTTAAATTCCAGCAGTTGCCGTGGTGGGATTTGAACCCATGACTCCAGAGCTTTCCTCTGGTCCTCTGGGTTACTAGTCCACCTACACCATCATCTGCCTCTAAAGCTAACAATCAACTATGTCTCTGTATAACCTCAACAATGACGTCCCAACTCTTACACACAAAGGTCTGAACAATAGAGGCAAGCGTGCTAAACACCTTCTTAACCACCCTGTATACATGTGACACAAATTGCAAAGAATTATGTACCCACGTCCTTCTGTTCTACAACACTACCCAGGGCCCTACCATTAATTGTATAAGTCCTGCCCTTGTTCGCTTTACCAAAACGCAATACCTCACATTTATCCAAATTAAACTCCATTTGCCACTCCTCAGCCCATTGACCCAATTGATTAAGATCTCTTTGTAGTCTTAGATAACCTTTTGCACTGTCCATTATACCACCAATTTTGGTGTCATCTGCAAATGTACTAACCATGCCTCCTTTATTCTCATCCAAATCATTTATATAAATGACAAACAAAAGTAGACCCAGTACCAATCCCTGACAAACATCGCTGGTCACAGGCCTCCAGTCCAAAAAACAACCCTTCACCATCACTCTCAAACCAATTTTGTATCTAATTGGCAATGTCACCCTGAATCACATGTGATCTAATTTTACTAATTAGGCTACCATGCAGAACCTTGTTAAAGGTTTACTAAAGTCCATGTAAACAGCATCTACCACTCTACCCACATCAATCTTTTTGGTTACGTCCCCAGCTTGTGACTAAAGATGGATAATCTTCCTTTTAGGGAGAGTTTTCTGGTGGAGTAGAATGTCAGCCTTCCATATCTGTTTATGACCCAGCCCTGGCCCATTCTCTAACCCTGGCTCTTGAAGCATAGAGGGGAAGGTTCCCTGCAAAGATTCACAGAACTGTTATGGTGCCAAAGGAGGCCATTCACTCGATCTTGCCTGCACTGGTTCTATCCCCTAGTGTCAATCTCCTGCCTTTACCTCATATCCCTGGACACCATTATAGTACAAATAATTATCCAGTGTCCCTCTTGAATGCCTCAATGGAACCTGCCTCCATCACATTTCCAGCCAAATCATTTCACACACTAAATACTTGCTAAGTGAAAACATTTTTCCTCACTTCGTTTGCACATCACTTTAAATCTATGTCCTCTCATTCTTTTTTTTTATTTTATGAACATTTGTATGTTACAGAGAAGAGATATTTAAGTCAGACCATTCTATTTCATTATGCAGTTAAGCAGTAGATACAGCTGATCTCATGTCAAACATGTAGTCAGACAGAACATGATTACATCGTTCGAAGGTACTCTACCTAAATGAGTTTTGCAACATATCAATACATATACAAATCATGATTTGCAACTGATGTGACCAAAATATGGCAAATGTTTTGAAACACAAGTAATCAAAGTACAGAATTACGTTTAGCAGATTAACTGATCCTTTCTTCTATTGTATGCATCAAAAGAGAATCAGACATTGCTATAACAGTAGTAATATTCATGCCACCTAATGCCAAGTAAAACATCATAAGTGAGAATTTAGTATCTCCTGTTCTATGATGTTGCAATTGCTGAATTCCCTATAATCAGCACTCTGGGCATTACCATTGACCAGAAACTAAACTGGACTAGTTGTACAGATGGGCAAATTATTGGAAAGGGCTCTGAGAGACAGGATTTATGATCACTTGGAAAGGCAGTTTGATTCGTGATAGTCAGCATGGATTTGTGAGGGGTAGATCATGCCTCACAAACCTTATTGAATTCTCTGAAGAGGTGACCAAACATGTGGATGCGGTATACATAGATTTAAGTAAGGCGTTTGATAAGGTTCCCCATGGTAGGCTCATGCAGAAGGTAAGGAGGCATGGGATAGGGGGAAATGTGGCAGATTGGATTCAGAATTGGCTGACCCTTAGAAGACAAAGGGTGGTAGTGAACGGAAAATATTCAACATGGTGCTCAGTTACAAATGGTGTACCACAAGGATCTGTTCTGGGTCCTCTTCTATTTGTGATTCTTGTAAATGATTTGGATGAAGGAGTGGAAGGGTGGATTAGCAAGTTCGCGGATGATACGAAGGTGGGTCACGTTGTGGACAGTGTGGAGGGCTGTTCTAGGTTACAAAGGGACATTGATAGAATGCAGAGCTGGGCTGAGAAGTGGCAGATGGAGTTTAACCCTGAAAAGTGTGAGGTGATTCATTTTGGAAGGACAAACTTGAAAGCAGAATACAGGGTTAATGGAAAGATTCTTGGCAGTGTGGAGGAGCAGAGGGATCTTGGGGTTCATGTTCACAGTTCCCTGAGAGCTGCCACCCAGGTGGATAGAGTTGTTAAGGAGTATGGTGTGTCAGCTTTCATTAATAGAGGGATTGAATTCAAGAGCTGTGAAGTTATGCTCCAGCTGTACAAAAGCCTGGTTCGGCCACATCTAGAGTATTGTGTCCAGTTCTGGTCACCTCATTACAGGAAAAATGTGGAAGCGTTAGAAAAGGTGCAGAGGAGATTTACCAGGATGTTGCCTGGAATGGAGGGAAGGTCTTACGGGGAAAGGTTGAGAGCGCTAGGGCTTTTCTCTTTTGAACGACGAAGGATGAGAGGTGACTTCATAGAGGTGTACAAAATGATCAGAGGTATAGGATAGAGTAGACAGCCAGACACTTTTTCCTAGGGTGGAGGTAGCTTTTACGAGGGGACATAGTTTTAATGTGAAAGGAGGTAGATATCAGGGAGACATCAGAGGTAGGTTCTTTACTCAGAGAGTGGTAGGGGCATGGAGTGCATTGCCGGAGAGGGTAGTGGAGTCGGCCTCATTAGGGGCATTTAAGCAGCTATTAGATAGGCATATGGATGATAGTACAAGGTAGCAGTGGAGGTTAGAGAGACCTTAGGTTTAGGGTAAAAGTTTGGCACAACATCGTGGGCCGAAGGGCCTGTACTGTGCTGTACTGTTCTATGTTCTATACTGTGGGTACAGAGCAGGTCAGAGGCTGGGAATTCTGCAGCAAGTAACTCACCTCCTGACCCCACCAAATGCTGTCTACCATCTATAAGGCACAAGTCAGGAGTGTGATGAAATACTCTCCATTTGCTTGGATGGGCATAGCTGCAACAACACTCGAGAAACTCAATGGCATTTGGACAACTGGCTTGGTTGTAATGCTAGAGAGGGAAATATGTTGGGCTGTGAGGTTAGAGATTGGTGGTTGAATACAAATTCTGCTGTTGCTGATGGCCCTCAGCACCTCATGGATGCCCAGTTTTGAGTTGCTATGTCTATTCGAAATCTATCCTATTTAGCATGGGCATAGTGCCACAAACGACACGATGGACAGTAGCCTGTGTGAAATGGGGTCTTTACCTTGATGGCAAGAAACTAGTCATTCCGCCATGCACAGTAAACTCGTAACTTATAGGTCTACGGGAATACTTTAGTTCTTCTGCAATCAGTATACAACGCAAATGATACACCACTGATTTGCAGGACAGTTACATAGTATCATTGCTAAATTGCCAGCCTCTGGCTAAGCATTTACAACCTGCATTTCAGTTTAGTTGAGCTGCAACAGACCTTTTCCCTGGATTCGTCATTCCCAGGTTTTAATCAATTTTCAACACTGGTTGTTTGAGGTAAAATAAAGGAATAAGCTGAGAGCTGTACATCAGCACTAGACATGATGATCTAGAATAGACCAGCAGCAGTGCACATAAATCAGTGATAGTCGGAACTGCAGATGCTGGAGAATCTGAGATAACAAGATGTAGAGCTGGATGAACACAGCAGGCCAAGCAGCATCATAGGAGCAGGAAGGCTGACGTTTCGGGCCTAGACCCTTCATCAGAAATGGGGGAGGGGAAGGGGGTT